CCAGAAATGCTTTCAACTTGAAAAAATATTTCTATGTTAAAATTAATGAATTTTGATCACATTCTCTAATTTTAAGCCTACAAGTAATTTTGAACATACAATTTTTTATATCCAGTAATTTTAAGCCTACAAGTAATTTTGAACATACAATTTTTTATATCCAGTAATTTTAAGCATACACATGCGCCCTTAAATTTAATCACTAATAAAATCTGTTAATTCTATTTGAGTATTTTAGTTCCGCAATTACGACAATTCTAATGCTCTAGGTGAGTTAGGCACCTGGTAAAATAAGTTCAAGGCCATTGATCACCATAAAATGTGTTAAAATATAGAATAATTTGAAATATACAGAAATGTTTTTTTAAATAGGAAGAAGAAAATCTAAATCAAGAGAAAAAGTTGGTTACATAAAAAAGGTATTTCGCTATTTAGAGGTTATTTTACGAAGAAAATCGTAAAATGTTCTTGGTTCCAGGGGAAAAAAATAAGCAAAATAGACGAATTCACTTAATAGAAGTTTGTAACATGGAGGTCCGATTGTATTATTCTATTCTTCAGAGCCTGATTGAGGACAGTGGTGGTGAGGGAGGGGCTGTCTTATCTTCAAATTATAAAATGGGGGAACCACCCACAAGCTGGTGTTCGAAATTCCTGCTAACTGTAAAAATGAAATCGTCTATTTCTAATCTGTCGCGTCGATGTGGAAGTCACCTCTTATAGCTGTATCATGAAATCTTGCACAGAATGCGGTTTTTGATACTGTTGGCATTCGAAAGAGGCACTTTGGATGTCTACATTTGCTTTAGGTAAAGGCATTAAATTTATCATTTATTTTACTGTCTAATACCTGTAAATATTGGTTATTATTGTTATAGAACTATTATTATAAAATGTAAATATTCAAAAAATTTAAATAGGACTTGGGAACTTAATATATTTTGAGGATATATTAACAATACAGACAGGTAGGGCTCGGGATCTCGAAATTCTGGGAGATCCTGCGGCGTTTTCTCTAAAATCCCGGGATTTAATATTTGACTAAAATATATTTTAAAATTTTTTCTCAGCAAATTTTTTGAGAATTTAATTCTCAGAAAATTTTCTTGACAATAGTCAAAGTCATGGAGGAAATTAGATAACCGAAACAAGTATTGTTCCACTGATAATTAAGGTACGAAAAATCATATCAATACTCAGAAGGTTACCAATAAAGGACGATTTATTATAACAATATATCCGAACAGAATTTGGCAAAGACGTTTTCTTATGCGACGAGATTACAAGACGAAGAGATTGTTGATCGGGGAACGTTTCTTTTTATTGAAAGATTGCATAAAAAAGCAGTAACAGACATAAAAGTTGCATATAAAAATCCCTAGATTTATCTCATGAAAATATCAAAATGTTATTTGATATAATAACTGTTCTTGTACCAGTAAAAACAACTGTTGAAGCCCTCTGCCATCGAGATAATAATCTGTTTACCAACAGATACAATCATAAATTTTATGCTAAAGAAGCTTAAAGTTGCAAACAGTGCTATAAGTAAAAAAAAAAAAAAAAAAAAATGCAGCTCTCATTTCTCTTATGTGAGAACGTAGCACAGATGAAAGTGGGTTACTGCAATACATACACAATTGATATAAAAAACTTTTCAGGAATATATTTTGTCACAGTTTCTTCTTCAATTAAATTCCGTAAATTAATATTAGACCTGCTTGAAAGACTTGACGCTTCAAATCCCACTGCAGTACTAACAGTTCATGCAACTGGATCTTCTATTTCAAGTAAGGTAACACGAAATTGATTCACATTCTGATTCTCAATAACTGAATCAGTTTATACACACAAAAAAAAAACATTTAGAGTAGCAGAAGAACTAGATTAGGTTATCAAAGAGGGATATACACTAAAGCAGCCTATTCGATTTAAGACACTGTCATCAAAAATTTAAAAAGAAATGTCTCTTTTTTTTAAATTGGAAGGAGACGTGGTGACTATCTGAAAAGAACACATACTCCGATTTAATGACCATAAAGTCTACTAGTGTAGAGGCTGTGAACGAGCGTTTTCTTCCGCTGGACAATTGTAACAAAAGTAAGAGGTTTGAACAAAGTAACGCTGGACCCACTTTGTGTTTCTTAAAAGCTTATTTACAGATACTCAAGAAATGAAGAAATGTTTTTTTAAATTTCATTATGTAGTATTTTTTTAATTGTTTCAATGACTAATAATATTAAGCAAAGTTTTTAATTAGGTTTCAATTTTATTATGTTTTTTTAATTATACTAATGTGTAATAATAATGTAAGTATTTTTCATAAAGAGTCCGATCCTAATCCCGGGATTTGGATAATGTAATCCCAAAATCTTGGGATTGAAAATATAACACGGGATTGCAAACTCTACAGAAAGGATTCCAATTTTCAAAAACACGTACGTGTTTATGCACTCATCTTCAAGTACGTAAGTTGAAATTTTTTCCATGATTTTCTGTTTGATTCCTGGAAATGAAATTCCTACTCTGATGCGTTCAATAGCTTCGCTGTAAAGCAGCCACTAGAGATCATCAGGAGTCCGATTTGATTTTTTTAAATCAACTTCACACTCTAAAGCAACCCGAAGGCGACGGACCCCGTACTTTTGAACCAAGGTCAAGTGACGAGGATTAAACATGTGTTGCCCTCCTCTCCTAGCTTCCACACCCCGCCAACTGGAGGATGTTTGACCCTCGATATATTTAACGTACTTCGTATAAGATGGGTCTTCAGAGGTACAAGGCTTGAACTCATGACACACCGACCACGAGTCCGTTATCTCGACCAATACGCTACTGCGGCCTCAACAAACACTCAGTCACAAATCGCATGTCACGAGTATGTTACCATAACCCATTGTGTACCAAGGTCACGGATCACTGGTATTGTTGCTGCTTATGCCACCCGATCGACAGTAACGTCAGATCAAGGCCCGCGAAATTAAACGCAGCATTTACGCTTATCGTTATCCATAGCTTTGAGCACCCTACAGGTGGTAGTGCGATCGGGCTGCATCCCCCCCCCCGTTTTAGAGAAAACACCCTGGGGGGGTCCTCCCACCTCTTTTCTACCAATCTCTTGAGAGAAGTTGCAGTTTAACGGTTGTTTAGAGTCCCCCTATGCCGCAAAGGCACTTTTCATTGAAGAAAAGAATCCACGCCTCCTCCGGTATTTGAACCCAGGCCCAACGGCACAGCAGTCAGCATCACTAACCACTCTACAGTGTATGGGTGGTCGGATCACTGGGGATTAGTGGTGAAGGTATAAGCTAATTAATTACATTAAAAAAGACTAAAAGTGCAGAAAATAATGGAAAACACTTCTGTCGTATTACAAATGTAAATACGCAAAATACTACCCATCATGCATCTGACAGTATGTATCATTTCTTGATATCAGGCAGACACGATAGAAAATAACTCCTTGGTAGCATTTATATAAGAGAAATAACGTCGAGATTTAATTAATTGTTAAGAAAAGAGAGAACAGCTAACGGTTTACTATTTTATTCGATTTCCCGAAAGTTTCATTAACCTTAAGTTGAGAAGTCCAGTTCTCATTTCAGTCAAATTAAGTCTGTGTTAAAAACACAATCTCTCCATTCGTCGTTCATTGAAGGATTTTTTTTCTCGTTGGGGGAGGGGGTATTCAAGTCTAAATAACGATTCTATATCGCCGAAGGAGAAGTCCGTATTGTGTAGGTGGCACGGTCAATGTGACATTGAGGGAACGTGTCGATTTCCTCCGCCCACGAAAAAGACCGCCCCACCCCGCGTTCATTAGGTAAAAGGTGTTATCGAGCCGCCCTGGCGCACGATAAATATTAAAAGAACGGAACAGGGCTTCTCCATTAGCACAGATTGAGCGTAGAGAGAGAGAGAGAAAGACGTTTTCATGGAAAATAGAGCATGCGCAGAAGGATCTCTTGCTTACCGCTCGAAAAGAAGCCATTACAACCATGCGACATAGATCTATCTCTCGCACAGTAAAATTTAGAAAAATATTACAACTACAAAACATCTATTGATCCCTTGAAATAAAGCCATCAGCTCAAAGCAAATTGCCTCGATATATGTATCAAACATTCATTTATTAATTGTACTAAAAGAGTTATTTCGAGATTGGGTTGAACGACGTCGCACTCAGAAGTTCCACGAGGACCATCAGCTCCTCATTCTTAACTGCGCTATAGTGACGAGAACGACACTCAAAAGCACTCGCTTCACTCTACTGAGAAAAGTGTATTACCGTACTTTTTTTCCAGTGTCGATGCTACTGAAAATCGGATGTGGCTTAGAATCGAATTCTGAAAATTCGTTGGATGGAGGAAACTGAACATATTGTCAATTAGAGCAATAAAAGGTTCATATATGTATTCAATTTAATTAAAATAAATTAATTTCATTCACTCTCTTCTTATTTTTTTAATTTCGGAAATAACGGATATCGATAAATGTAATTTTTTCACTATTTTTATATTTCTCCCCAAAAAGTGTTGAAAGAGTGGGGTGTGGCTTATATTCGAATAAATATGGTATTTAAAAACAAACGAATCCCTCCGGATTTTCCCTTCGTTAATAGAATTATACCATATATAGTATAGTAGTAGTGGACCCGATTTTATCCTTGACAAAATGGACCATCTGAACAGTCATTTCTAATAAATTCCTTTTTGAGGTACATTATTTTTCTTTGTATGCGTATTATTAGAGTAGCCTATTATTCAATTCCTGTTATTAGGTCACACTCTGCCTATATATATATTTCTTGTTCAAATATTTTCAATCGTTAATATCATAATACTTTTCATTCATCCACTCAAGTTCAAATATATTTTTTTTAAAACTTATAGTGTTAAAACAATTTTTTCTAACATTAGTTCTATTTAATTAATGAATAAATAGTAACAAACAAAAATAATAGTCCAATACCCTATATAAAAAAGTAAATCGCTGATTGTGTCCCTGTAGTGCAATGGATAGCGCGTTGGACTTCAATTCCAAATGTTCTGTATCCGAAACCCAACTGGGATGGCCTACTTTCTAAGAATGTGATTTCTTTTTACTATGCTATTTTATTGGAATGTTTTAATTAATGAATAAATAGTAACAAACAAAAATAATAGTCTAAAGGAAAACGGAAAATTGCAAGGAAAATCGCTTTCTATTTTGCCACTTAATATTATTTCACTCTGTCATCTGTATATGCATATTTATATTAATTGTAATTTTTTTATAAGAAGCAATTAAAATTTTTCTTTGTTGAACTGAGAAGGAATTGAATTAAATTTTTTTTTATTACTTGTTGTACTATAATTACTTAGATAAACTTTCAGTTCAATGTAATTACTAAATTATTGAGCTATTTTTAAAAATAAACTCAAAAGTGTCTTCTTCTCCCGGTAGTGTGAATGGTGATGGGAAAGAGGGCAATTCGGATAAAAAACAAGTTGAATGCATTCTTTAATGGAGACGGAGAATTAATTACGTAATTTAAAGCTGACGTGTCATTCTTTTATGAATAGTAAATAATGAAAGCCTCGAGAAATAATTTTTATTTTCAATGGGACTGCGCATTGGTATTTTAAACCTTTGCAGACCTAGTACATTACCCAGGAGCTGGTACCACTTTTTAGCGCTACACCATATAGGCGATACCAATTACAGCACGCAATTTTGACACCCAGTTTCCTCCACAGAGGGAGGCACCTGAGCTCTTGACGATGCGAACTTTGTACTAGGATTTAATTTTGCCGAGAGCATCCTAGCCAAATAGACATTCTAAGAATCTTCCACATGCCGTATAATCATACGACATGGCCGCTGTCGATTTTTTGCATCAAGAAAATCCACCGACTTGGGCCGGGGACCCGCAACCTTGGGTGTAGAAGGCCAGGGACCAACCAACCACGCCCCCCAGCCGACCTCAAGAAATAATAAATTAATAGTTTAATTCATGGTGTTTTTATTAACAAAAAAACCCAGCAGAAATTTTCTTCCTTCAAAGTCCGAGAAGTCTTCTTGCCCCCATTCATTTCATTTGTCATACATTCGTATGGAAGGTTAAGAAAGCTCTCAACCGCAATTGCACTTTACTTGGGAAATTTGAGCTGACGACATGATTGCCGGAAGTTCGGGCTTCTTTTTAACAGAGATCTAACTTCAGACTCGTAGCAACTACTATATTTTCCTTGCATTTCCAGTCTCTCTCTGTACTCGCATTTGTTTCATTTTCTGGGCTTCTTTCTTCACAAAGATACGTTTTACAGGGGAGTTAAGAAATTTGCTGATTGCATACGACTTTTCTTTTTCACACGTGATCCTTCTTAAGAGTTTAAAATTAAAAATGCTTCTGCTCTCTCTCTCTCTCTGGGACGAGACTAGCATTTCTCGACGCTCTTTATTTTGAATTCCCTCAGTCATGGTTTTTATTGAAAATTTCTGTAGTTCGGCTTTTAGGCGCTGCAGTTTGGGAATCAATATTTTATCTTTCTGCATTAACCCGACCATGAACTCGCAGCTGGATGGTTTCGGGTTCGAGTCCTGGTACCACTGAAGAGCCACCATGTAGAGGGGATATAAAGTTAAATATGTCTAGGGGCAATGTCTCCTCCCGTGGGTGTGATAGTTAAGGAGAGGGATGGCGCCAACTTAAGTGTCGTTCTCGTCACTTGACCGAGGTTCAAAGCGACGAAGTCCGTCTACAATAGCCTTCGTGTTGTTTTATAGTGTGACGTTCGTATAATTCACTTTCACTCATTCAAATGCATACTCGCTAAGAACAAGCCCTGAGTCCACATTCTGTGGGCCTTTTTAATTGCTGTGTAACCGAAATAACTTCGAAATAAGCAAAGCTCTATAACGCATCGATCTTCTTACCCTTAATGGATGTCTTCTTTGCCCTGGGTAAGTTACCATGCTGTTCTAGACATGGCTGTAACAGGTCTTTACAGCCTTTTCCCTATGTCGCAATGCAACATTGGGCGCTTTCAAGATCAATCCGTGGATATTGTCACGGGACTCATAGTGGAACTCAAGACAAAAGAAAATATTTCCAATGGAGTATATAAGCGGTTGGTTTATATCTTGAGAGCGAGAAACGGTTTGAAGGTTATTCAATTATAAGGTTGCCCCCCAAAAGAAAAAGTACGAAACCTATTCATTGGGATAGAACAAGTCTCTGAACTAAATCTCGTCGAATCGAGTGATTTAAAAAATGCTTCAATCTCCGATGCAAATTGGGAAAAAGAACATGTGTGTTCAATAGAAATATTTAAAATATTTGTTCTTAAGATATTATGGTCAGGGACGTCTTAAGATTTGTTGAGGCCCTAGGCCAATACGTAAAAGTAGACCCTGGGCCCGCTACACAAATTTAGGCCCTACTTATGACCCATAAAAGTCGGTAGTACATAGCATATGTGTTGTCAAATATTCGTACAAACCATAAAAAACAAAACAAACAAATGTACACGACTTATAATAGTACAAATCGCCTCGCCCGGCTGTCGCTCTTTGACTTAATGAGTAATCTATATATATAAAGGAGTAAAACGACTCACTCACTGACTGACTGACTTATCACGAAATCTCTGGAACTATTCAACCTACAGACTTGAAATTTGGTAGACATGTTCCTTTGATAGAGTAGACATCAGCTAAGAAAGGATTTTCCGAAATTCGAAACGCAAGGGGCGTTTCGGGGGGTTAAGGGATTTAATAATAATTGTTTCCATGTTTAAACTACTTGATGTACAATCTTGAAATTGGGTAAGTGGATTCCTTTCAGAGAGTAGAGATCCGCTACAAAATGAGTTTGCTGAAAATCGACCCCCAAGTGGCGTTGCAGGGGCTTAGGGGGAGTTATAGATAATTATTTCCATTTTTAAACTATTTGACGCACTGTCTTTAAATTTGATATATATAGATTCCTTTCGTAGAATAATGATCAGTTACAAAACGGGTTTTGTGAAAACAGACTTCTAAGTGGCGTTGCGGGGGATTAAGGGGCGTAATAGATAAATATATCCGTTTTTAAACTACTTCACCTATCTGCTTGAAAATTGGTAGGTAAGTTTCTTTCCTGGAGTAAATATCCGCTACAAAATGGGTTTTGGGAAAATTGACCCCCAAGGGGTGTTGCGGGGGCGGGGGGTTTAAGGGGCGTTATAAATTCCTATTTTTAAGTTATTAGACGTACAGTCTTGAAACTTAGTAAGCAGATTCCTCTCATAGGGTAGAGATACGCTAAAAATGGGTTTCGTGAAAATTGCCCCCAAGTGGCGTTGAGAGGACTTAAGGGGCGTTATAGATAATTATTTCCATTTTTAAACTATTAGACGCACAGTCTTTATATTTGATAAAGAGATTTCTTTCATAGAGTAGAGATCAGCTATAAGAAGGTTTTGTGAAAACAGACCTCTAAGTGGCGTTGCAGGGGAATAAGTGGTGTAAGAGATAAATATTTTCGTTTTTAAACTACTTTGACCTACCTGCTTGAAAATTGGTAGGAATGTTTCTTTCATGGAGTAAATATCCGCTACAAAACGGGTTTGGAGAAAATTGACCCCCAAGGGGTGTTGCGGGGCGTTAAGGGCAGATATAAATAATTATTTCTTTTTTCAAACTATTAGACTCACAGTCTTGAAATTTGGTTAGCAGATTCCTCTCATAGGATAGAAATACACTGCAAAATGTGTTTTGTGAAAATCGACCCCTAGGTGGTGTTGCGGGGGTTCAAGGGGCGTTATTGATAATTTTTTTGCATTTTTAATTAATTGGACGCACAGTCTTCAAATTTTGCTAAGCAGATTCCTTTCATAGAGTGCAATTCCCCTACAAAATGGGTTTTGTGAAAACAGACTCAGAAGTGTCGTTGCTCAAGTGGGGGCTCAAGTGGCGTTATAGACAATTGTCCCCATTTTTAAACTGTTAGACGTACAGTCTTGAAATTTGATAAGCAGATTCCTTTCGTAAAGTAGAGAACCGCTACAAAATGGGTTTCGCGAATATCAACTACAAGTTTAATTTCGGGAGATTAAGAGGCGTAATCGATAAATATTTCCATTTTTAAACTACTTGATCATTCTGCTTGAAAATTGGTAGGCATGTTCCTTTCATGAAATAGAGTTCCTCTAAAAAAGAGTAAAATGAAAATTGACCCCCAAAGTTGTTTGCGAGGGGCCAAGAGGAGTTACAGAAAAAATTCCTGTTTTTAATTGTTAGACCCATATACTTGAAATTTGTTAAGCATGTTTCTTTTGTTGAATAGGGATCCACTAAGAATAAATTTTAAGCAAATCAAGAGTTCTGGGGGGTTGCAGGGGGTTACTGGGACGTATTGACAAAAAAAAATTACTTTTTTCGAGCTACAAGGAGTATAATAATGAAATTTGGTTTGCATTTTTCTTTTGTTGAATTGAAATCCGCTAAGAGCGGTAATTTTGGAAAATGGCTCTCAACGGGATTACGGGGATATTTATAGTAAAACTTTTGCTTTTTTCTGTTGGATTTAGACTTGAAATTTGGCTTGCATGTTCAATTTACGGAGTAGAGATCCACCGAAAATTGGTTTTGCGGGAATCCACTTGGTTTTTGAGTTACGAAAGAGCAAACATCATTCTATGCTTCAATTTGAGAGATTTTTAGAAAATACAAATTAGATCTGCCCTTTTTTTTTATCAACAGGTGACAGTTACAGGTATAAGTATATTTTTCAATTTAATCGAATTCTTAATGCTAGGACATAGATATCAATAATTTATACATATATATAAGCAGTAAAAATTTATAAAACATCATGAAATACCCAGCGAAGCGGGCGGGTAACAGCTAGTGATGGTATATAGTAGTACATCTAAGGCCTATACAAATGGACAACGGTCATCGCATAATACAGTCTTGCCACTGTTGCCATTTGACATATCGTCTGAAAATCCCAGTTTTTCAAAGAATACAACCGGAAATAACATTTGACTGTTAAAATTATTCAAATCATGATTTTTTAAAGATTCTCTCGAAAACGAATCGTGGCC